GAACTTGGCTTCTTTGCCAGGGTGTTACTCAGAATATACGCGAATCAGGGATTGGGACCACAATTGTAAACAAAACACAAAACAAACCAGGTGATCGTCTGGCGCAATATTATCGCCAGCGAAACACAGGAAAGAGTCACACACGTGGAGGTCGGCTAATTGTAAGTAAACAAGGGGATAAAATAATATTGAAAAAGTAATATCATTGTACAGGGAAAACATTATCCAGTCACAGTTCACGTTCTTGTCGTGAGAGGATCCTTCAAAGTGTAAAATGTTACTACAAGACTGGGTTAGTCCAGCAACCAGGCTTACTCTAACTGGAGCAGATGGATAAATTGTGTTATTGGATCAGCTACATCTCACCCGGTAGACGCATCACGGATGAAGTGTCAGCTCGCATACAGAAGAATCGGTTGGCATTTGCCAGCTTGAGACATCTGTGGCGCCGTTGTGACATCCTGCTTCCCGTGAAGGGTCGAGTATATGCTGCGGCAGTTCGACCAGTTCTGCTATACGGCCCAGAAACTTGGCCATTAAGAAAACAGGATGGAACGTCAGTGTTCGAACGCCGAACGCAGCATTGTATGAGTCTGGTAGGGTAACCGGACGGCCAATGCTGAGGTTAGGCGCAGAGTTTTAGGTAAATGCGGTTGCTCACTGGTGCAAGTGGTCAACATCCATAGATTACGTTGGTTGGGGCATATGTTACGAATGTTACCAAATAGGTTTCTAAGGCGGGCGATGTTCTGCGAGACAGGTAGTGGAATAAAACCAAGAGTGGTCAAGCTCAGACCTGGTGTGAGGATATGAAAACCCTAACCAAGGGACTAGGTCACATAGGTCTCGTAAGGCTCCCTGACTGGGGACCTCGGGATGATCGTAACCGATGGTTAGAGACATTGAGTGTGATATGGGTGAGTGTCGTAAACAGTGGTGCGTGCGTGTATGTTCTCAATTTCTCTGCAACACTGGTCCACTGAAATTCTCCATTTTCTCTTCGACCCCATTTTCAACTTTCATCTCTTTCTCCTACTATTCGTCCAAATGGGTAGCCAACAGACAGCAACCAAAACCGGCGCACGAAAGTGCATGGTAAAAGGTTGGTCGAATTGAACCCTTGGTTGAATTGCGTGACTTTTCACTCGCTCGGAATGTCGTCATCCGATTGGTTGTCCCGAAACTGTAACGCTTCGCTCCGTGGAGGACTCCACTCATCCGATAGTGTTGGATTGGCACAGTTAATTTTTACCAATAATAACAACCTACTTTGGTGATAAATAGCTCAACAGTCACTTTATGCTGTTTACGCCTACAAAAGCCTCAGTATGGTCGGGAGTGGGTGTCTACGGTTGCGGTTGATCATCCTTCCCTTGTGTTGTATCCCGTATGAGTAAGTACGTAAGTAGCGAATTAAGTAGTAATTATATTTCCAGTATGTAAACGCAAACGTAGTCGGTCCGTAAGCCGGTGAGCAAGCAGTGCGTCAACACGCTGGGCAGTCAACGAACCAATCAATGAGGAGAGATCAATACTGACCTCTGATTCGCTGAGGTGGATCGACCTTGTAGCAGGGTAAGTCCGCATGACGTGCGTCCGTGCGTGTGGTGGTAGGCCGCAACGGTCAAACACGTGATGCGCGGTAAACGTTTCACTCGACCGCAGGCCACAACACCTTGCATCGCGCAAAATGCTCCCATACGAACAAGCCATTGCTGAGGAAGCCCTAATCACTGCCTTCTTGTGGAGCGGAGTTGTTTTCTCTCCAAAGTGAGAGGAAGAAAAGCCGACATCCGGGGCTATAACCGGGTTGGTGGACCACTGGTAGTTCACCTAAAGGAGGAGGCGTACAAACCACCCACATATCTTCCTGCTTATGGCATTGATCTTCGGCTCAATTGGGTATCGAGGCGTATTGGGTACCTTGGACGTTTCACCCATTCAAAGGGGGTATGATCCGATGAACTGGACACCGGCCCTAAAATGGATCACGGGTTTCACACACCGGCCCACTGCCTTGCCGATCAGTCTTTCGTCTACCGTAAACTTTGGTTGTGGATTGCTCATGGAAATTCATCTCAATTGACCTGGGCAACCTGGCATTATTCCGCCCACATGCATATCAGCCAACGTTTTTCTTTTCCATGAAGATTTTTATACCATGATTTGTTTGGCACACAGTCTGGATTTATATGTGTGAAGATATATATATATATATGCTGGTTACGGTAGTAAAAATGTAATGCGAATCGAGCCGAACCTGCCTCAGCCTTGTTCGGTGTCATCTACGGGGCATATCCTCGACTCAACTGGATAAAATCCATAATGCCCTGCGGATTTGCACTGCTGGTAGTTCCTTACAATGGTACAACTGTTGTACAATACTTTATGGAATAATTATATTGATGAAGAACGCCTTCGTTCTGCGCAGTGAACAAACGAACTGAAAACACTGACTACGAGTTTGTAGCCGTAGTACGCGGAGTAGCAATCTTAGTCGAACCACTGCATAACATAAAGTCAAGTAGAACCAAGCCGAGTTGTGGATACAGTTAATTCTATTCGAAAAAGTATACAACTGTCGTATCACAAGTTTTGCTCAATCATTGGTCGATTTCTCGTTGTCCAATCGGTATCCATTTCGCAAATGTATTAACTTTTCGGTAGTCAGGCAATCCGATCGTTTGCACCTTAGTCCATAAGATTGGTTGAAATCGTGGCCTGATGAATGAATACCCGGAAGTTGTATCGTGGTGCGTGCGAACTGTCGTCCGGTCTCGCTGCACGATCAGCACACTATCGTTAATTCAAACAGAGAGGTTCGTTTAACTCAATCTGTACGCGCACATACTGCAATCAGGATGAATTGTAAAGATATTACAATGAATAAAAAGACAGTAATCCTTTTCACAAAAAAAAACCGGGCTCATGTGACTGCTAGTTGACTGGGTATACCCTCATGCATACAGACATCCGAGTTCAAACGATCATCCACAATGTTTACATCATTTTGGCTCTTAGCTCGATGACAAATTTAAGGGGGGAAAGACCCAAATCCCAGCGTGCTCGGTTTATTTGGGGGCTGTGCTAGAAGCGTACAAGCCTAGGCAACCGCACACCCAAGAGACTCATTTCAAGGGGTGCTCCAAGCGAACCGTTCCAGCCGTTCCAGTTCAACGGCCATGTGGTTTATTCCTTGAAAATGGGATTCAATAATAGCTAAATAGAAATATCATTGGACAAACGGATATCAATCAGTCACCGTTCCCGTTTTCCGAGTTACACGACTTCTGTTTGATTTGCATGGCCCTTGATTGACCAATCGTGTTGCTTGTGGTCCGTTGTCCAGAAACTGTAATGCGTGGCCCGTTGAGCGATGATTCCTCGGAGGGTTTACTCACCATATGTCCACAGGACATTTGTTAGAATTTACAAAACTATCATGCTCTTCACAATTGTCCTGTTTACACTATAATACCTGTTCGGAAAAGCTCGTCAGCCCTACTTATCACATAGTTGTTTCTGTCTTCCCTTGATATTTATTGTGGTCTAGTTCACCCAAAACGCTGCGGTTGGAGAACCTCTTAGATGACGCTGCCAATTGTCGTTTGCTCTGTAGACTGTCTGGATAGTTCATCACTCCATATCACAGGATCCCGGTTACAATGTCTCCGAGGTGAACGGTATGGCAATGGGTTGTTGTATCCCGTATAAGTAAATACGCACGCAGTGAATCATGAAGTAAATTTATCGTAGAAGGCATACGTAACCAGTTCATAGGTCGGTGAGCAAGCGCAAGCAGGAAACACGTAACACACGTAGGCACGTGAACAGGCAGGCCAAATACCGGCTCCAGCGTCACATGACATCTAACTGCGGACATTCAACCAGTCAATGGATCAATCAGCGTGGGCAGTCCAGTGCTAACACCTGATTGGATAGAGCCGATTGATATTGTATAGTAGTCAGTCCACAAGGTGTGAGTACGTGTGTGGCAGCGGACAGGATCTGTCAATCAATCAAGCAGCCAATTGTGCCACAGACATGTACAACAAACGCATCAGTCACTTGAAGAGTAAAAAATCACCTCCCCCCTTTCACAAATAAGTATGGGGTTTATATTTCACAGAAGAAAAAGAACATCAAGCAGGACGCAGTTATAGATGTGTTGTTTAGGCATGTACGAAACACGTTGCAGTCAAATTTAGTTCACAATATGGGACTCCTTCCATCTCTGCGGTTGGCTATCGGAAAATTTATACGAACTACACTAGGCATGGATTTAATTTTTTATCCCTTAGTAATCCCAATAAAAACATGTCAAATACCGAGTGGTTTGGTTCTATCGAAATGGGTTTTGCGTTTTCCATCAACATAATAACGGGTTGTATTCATCCACTGCCTACATTGTACGAGATGAATGCTAGTAATTGATCGATTGACATTTGATCTATATTGATTGATTAATTGATTAAGAGGGCAGTTATGTCACTCGATAAAAATAATAGAGACATAACCTCGTGTCCCGGAATTCGCTTCTTTGATTCCGTGATCAGAAATCGCTGTATACTCACATTGACCTTGAAATGTTCACCGCCTCGGAAACAATCAAATCAGGTCTGAGTCACGTGTGCGTAAAACCTCGGTTGCTAAGCTGCGTTCGACCTAAAGTTTGATGTCACGCTTCACACATACACAAAGTTGTATTCCGTAGTCTATTCACTCTCCACAAAACAGGAGGAGAGAGCGAGCGAGCGCGCACGCCCGTCAGAGGTAATGAGTTTGCGCACAGAATTGTTCTTCTTCTATAATTCACCACGACAACATCTCCCATGGACTTCCAGTAGTTCACCCCGGTTGAATAACACACCACGTGTGGATTATTCAGGCTACGATGAAACCCAACCGGATCCCGGCAATCAGAGCGACTTGGGTGCAGGAAATGAGGGACCGACCACTTTGCCTCGACCGGTAGAAACACTCGAACTGAACGCACCGATTGTGCACTCCAGCGTGCCAAAGTGTCCGGCACCGCCAAAGCGTGGTCTCTCACTGTTGGGACGTCAACAACAGGAACGCTATTTTCGATGGATGAATGTGAGTAAGCACATTTTGTCCCAACTGGGTGATCGAATGCACACGAGTGATCGGTTATCACGCGTTCGCCGACCACGCTTTTTGGATTATCAGTTGGATGCGACTTGGGAAGAGTTGATTGAAGACACGTGTCTTGATCCACGGGATTGGCAAACGCCCGGTTTGAGAAACGCCTATGAAACTTGGCTCCAGGTATGCACTGAAACAATTAATACAACACGCATGCGTACACGTACACACTCACCAGGCACGTTTTGTACACGGTCTCTCAAACATGACATATCGCAATATACCGTAGACTACCTTCGAATCCGTTTTAAAAGAATGCTTGCATCTTAGATGTAAAAAATACTCAAAAACCGGGATAATTTTGAAGCACTCAAAACATACTATCCTGTTAAATTTATGTTCATCCAGAGGAGCATGTGTAATGCTAGTCCCTATCCCCACCCACCCACCCCCGGGTCAACTTAGTATCACGATAGACAAACTGACTGTAGTAGTAGTAGTAGTTGTACGCACGGAATTCGGAACGCCAATCACGCAATATGAATCACAGGACCCGAATCAATAATCAGCTATCACGGACTGGATCTCAGAAGCACTGGACCACAATGGTACGGGTTCGCAGTGTCCCACGAGAACGAGAATGGTAGTAAGTGGTAGTTCCTTTATTGGAAGAAATGAGGGCGATTAAATAATATGTACAAAAGAAGATTATTGGTTATCTAGGTCTCCACCAATCGGATTGCAGTACTGCTTGCACAATTCTGTTTCTGTCTGCACTGTCTTGGATTGGCTGGCACGATCTGTCTATGGCGTGTAGTCGGAAGTCGTGTATCACTGACGTCAGCATTCAAATTTGATTGATCGCATGTGTCCGAAAACTGTGACGCACCGCTCCAGGGTAGGCGTCATCTCGTAGACCTGAATTACCACAGATATATACTTCATTCAGTCAAACAACTGTATACACTCGGAAGTACTATATAATCATCACAAATCATGGACACAACTGGAACGCTGAATCGCACTAGTACTTGCGCACTGATATCGTTTGTCACCGAGTCAGGGGAGACAGATCACAGAAGTGGCAGTTCGATTATTGGAAGAAATCAAGCGGATTAAATAACATGTACAGAGGAAGTTTATTGGTTATACAGCCATCTACCAGTGACTTGCTTGTTTTCTGGACGTCATACAGCTTCTGTCTGGACTGCGCGACACGCAGAGGGCATGTGTGCCAAACAGCTCATACCAAGACTGGGGAGAATCAGACTTCTCCGATAGGCATGAAATGAGGCACAAGAGAAGTTCTGTTCACTCCGATCCAACGTTTCTTACCGAATTAATAGTATACTCCAACAAGGTAAAAATCTGATTGCGACGTTCCATGAGTGTCTGAGTGTTTCATCGGATTACATTGATGGATGAAATGTGAGAAGATCAGTGCTCTGTTCGTGTAACTCGTAACTCAGCTGGTAGAGCGTGCTCTGTCCAAAAGCGTAGGCGGCTTCCATGTGTGGGGCGGGGGTTCAATCTGACAGAGTCTGCGTAGTAGTTGAAGTAGACACAGACCACCGATTACCAATTATGAACCCAGAATAACGAATCAAGAATGCCAGATGTAACGGAAACATTCGATCGAACTAACTCTTGCACGCTGGTATCGCACGTAACAGAGAAGCTAGGATGAGGCCACAGAAGTAGCAGTTCATTCATTGAAATAAATCAATGAGATTAGATAATATGCAAATAGAAATATCATTGATCAAATGAATATCAACCAATCATTGCTCTCATTCTTCGAGTCATACAGCTTCTGTTTGAGCTGTACGACTGTTGAGTGATCAATATTGTTGGTTCATGGTCCAATGTCCGGAAACTGGAACACGCAAGCTCTTGGCTGGAGTCGATTCGGGGGTCTAAATCACCACAGTATGATGAACTTTTCAAAATTTCAACAAATAGACTTCAGTCTGTCAAACAACAACTTGAAGTGGATATTACAGATACAGACGACATCTTATAGATAGGTAATTAAAATCGATAGTGACAGACAACAATAAAATATTGCATAATTCTCTGGTTGAAGCTGAGCTACCTAAAATGCGTCTTATTGATGATATTAATCTCTAGGTCAATAGAAGGACAGACTGATATTTCATAGCGGGCTAGTCCAGGGACACATGAATTTGAGACATAAAGTCGTTCACATGGCCTTTTTCAAATACACAATTGCTGAGAGTCAACAATACACGATGACCATAAAGTAGGTGTGCGCATATCTACGCGCCCACCAATAATCGATGGGTACGAGGCAGTGTGGTAGGGGTGGGAGTAGATAAATGACGAACAACTATAAAATTCCATATGTCACTAACGGAGCTAACATTCCGGTTAACAGATATCAGCCGGATTGTGAGGTGATGAGATCTATTGAAATATCGATTCAATTAAAACGACACAAATACATCCTTGTGTGTGGGATGAGTCATTTGTATACCATAATTCGGCTACCCGAATAGGAGGCATTTGTCATGTTTTTTTCGTCACAAGTATGTAGCCAAGACTTTGGATACGGCTCCTACCCAGCTTTTATATATATATCTGCTGTTGGTCGGAGTGGGTCCAACACGTGATTCACAAACCATAACTTTTCAATTTAAGATGCATTTTGCTATGTCGATAGTACAATAATCCGAGTACTCCACCGTTTCACATTGTCTTGTACTTTTTGTGACCATCCGGTTGTCATGTTCAGTTCATACTTGTAGCGAAGGCGCGCCTACTGTACAGACGAAGTTCACTGGACCCGCTAAAGACTAGCGATTGTAGAACGGGTGTGTGTGGTTTCTCTCTCTCGGGTTAGCTGGACAAGCACCAGGTCCCGTGTTGCGACTGAACTATTCGATCGATCGATAAATGAACCCGATCGGTCGTGTGACTTTCGGGCCGGCACAGGATGAGGGTAGGTTCCGAATCCGATGCTGCTTAAGTGTTATTAGAGAATCATCACAAAAGAATTCGTTGTGGAACGATGCGCCATGTGGGAAATTCGGAATAGAAGAGGCTCAACGCTTGAATCGTATAAGATACATACTAATTTTCTAAGTGGGTTCGGTAAACGGATAAACACAATAAAACTTGGAACTTGTTTTAAGTACGGACTCGAATATCCACGCAAAAATCTTCTTGGAATTTTACCAGCTGGTTTGTTTCGCATAGAACGAAGTTGCTAACCACGGCGGAGATAGGATTCTAGCATTGGATTCGGAACCTACCCTCATCCTGTGCCGGCCCGAAAGTCACACGACCGATCGGGTTCATTTATCGATCGATCGAATAGTTCAGTCGCAACACGGGACCTGGTGCTTGTCCAGCTAACCCGAGAGAGAGAAACCACACACACCCGTTCTACAATCGCTAGTCTTTAGCGGGTCCAGTGAACTTCGTCTGTACAGTAGGCGCGCCTTCGCCACAAGTATGAACTGAACATGACAACCGGATGGTCACAAAAAGTACAAGACAATGTGAAACGGTGGAGTACTCGGATTATTGTACTATGGACATAGCAAAATTACATGTTCAATTGTTATTCGGACGTTTTAAGTTGAAAAAGGTATAAATATTTGTGTGATTGAATCGTTACGCTTCGTTATACGGTCGATTCGGTTCTATAGATTGTGTGAACCATGAAGTAGAACTATCCCTGAATTTGTTTTCGTCAGGATTACATAGATATTGAACTTTCGTTTCGTCTCACTCAGAACGTAGAATGTAGAATACAATTAGTAGAACCTCGCAGTCCTGGGGACACATTTTCTAAAACAGACAGACAGTTAAGCAAGCGCATAGTTTGGTTACTTTTCAGTATCACCCTATCGCACCTCATAATGTTTGGTGGTTGCTTGCGACGAGAATGTTGGAAATATTATCGGATTAAATACTGGCATTTAACGCAATCCCATTATCATAAAATTTACGATCAACGCTGACCAATCAAGTTGAAGGCCACTCTGAATCAGTTCGTACTATCAACCAATCAATACACGTACGCCTATCGGAACAATATTGACGGCGTTTATCTCAGATTTTACAAAACATGTAGATATTAGGCTTCATCGATCAGAAGATAAATGAACTTAGAAACTGTTAGACTTGTTCTGTTGGACCGAATGGATATCACGTGCTTAAATCCGGCCTAGAAGTGGAATATCACATGAGAAACGATTACATCACGCTTAGTTTGCAAAAAAACATGGATCACACTACCAACATCCATTGTACGAGATTTCGATTTTCCAGGAATGATTTACAATGACTTTACCATATTCAATGTGACAATGTGATGGATTTTCATCATTCTGTAAACATATCACGGTGTACATTTACATCGCACAAGGTACGCATTCTGTCCTACAGGATCAATATGGTTGGTCACGTGACTGTGATAGGTTGTATTGTATCATATTGTATACATCATTTCTGTAGGCGTAAAGCCTACATTTCAGTCAAAGGTGTACATATTACACAGACAGAGAGACAGGGAAGGAAGAAAAAGAATTTAAGTCCCGAAACATTTAGCAAATCTGAAAAAATCTGTTTCTTTGTTAACTGGGGTACGTGCTCAAGGAGGTATCGTAGACTGACGACACATGTTTATTTTAGAGGAACTGTAGCATCTAATTTAGTTGCGGCTTATGGATCACGAATCACGATCGCAACTGAAGCACAGAATCGCATTGGCAACCGTACACTGGAATCCCTCGTCATCGAGACGTAGGGAAAAAACAGAAAAGTAGTGGTTCGTTCATTGAGAGAAATCGATGAGATAAAATCACATATATATATATATATATATATATATAAAGGAATCTGATTGGTTAGACAGGTATCCACCAATTGCGTGCTTCAATTCTTGACGACATACAGCTTCTGTCTGGACCGCACGACTTTTGATTGGTCGGCACGATTGGTCTGTGGTTCATTGTCCAGAAACTGTAACGCATCGTTCCGTGGCTGGCGCTATCCCGTAGGCTAGGATAACTACAGGAACACAACGATATTGGGATCTAGTTGATGGATCGGGAACAACAGGAATTTAAATGTGTGCAGTGGATGTATGGGGTCCATAAGAATCTTAGGTGTAAACTTTTCGCATGCGTTCAAATGATGTTCGCACAAGTTAGTTGCCAACTCCTCCAGCGGGATTGAAGAAATGCGGTTATTGATGATCAGACCATGTCGAGGCAGTTTTCAATCTTCCTTCAGGAGATTGGAAAAGCAACAGGTGAACAATAAAGTAAAATGGGGAAAACACACTGGTATAGGGATTT